CCTGCAGCCTCAGAAAAGGTGGACGAGTCCCCCCTGGAGAGCTCCTGTCCTGCAGCCTCAGAGCCACGATGCAGTGCTTTGGTGATGTCAGTGCTGAGGCAGGGACACAAACCAGCTTCCTTAGGTCAAATAATTCTGAAATTAATCATAAAACACCTCACGATCAGGGCAGCTCAACAACGAGAAGAACTGTCTGTAAACAAAGTGCTCCTGAAATACACCTGTAAAACTGGAGATCCCTTCACACAGCAGGAATTACAACACCACTGTCCCATCCCACTCCTCCCAATGTGGGAATTGTACTCCTTTTCCCAGTGCTGTCATAGAGTATGAGGATGTCCATCAAGTAAACAGCACCAAGTATTTTCTCTTACATCGTGATGCAACACAGCAGGATTGCTAAATCATGACACACAACATGATCCAAAACATCTGAACCTTATGGAATGCAAACCTGAGGGACACCAGCAGCCACTGCTCCACAATCCCACTATGAGATATAGCACAGAACAAAAATAACACCTTCTGATCCTCCCTGGAATACAAGCACTGAGGCTGCACTGCAGCTGGTCCAATACAATATATTTTACATGCATGCAATACACATTAATGTGAAATTATTACTTTAAAGTTACGAGAGATTTCAAGTTTTACGTGATTTGGGCATTACATTGGGACAGTGGGAAAGTCTCTACATCCTGATCAGTACCAGGACATAACCCATTTGGAAGTCCTCTAGTACATGAGCAAAACATAAAACCTCAGTCTATATTAAAAAACGAAGCAAAACAAAAAGGAAACACCACCTTTTAAAAGGAAGAAACAAGAAACAGTTGAGGTTATTCCATGGCACAGGCAAGAGGTTGAATAAATACAGAAAAGGCAATCAAAGGAAGCACTGGAAAACCGAGAAGCCTGTTTCAAGAAGAAACGACATTAAATATAAGGCCACAAACACGCCCATCTTGCTCCTCAGCAAAGAGTCTTACAGGCAAGACGTTAAGTGTATTGCTACGCTAAAAGGCTGGGTGTTTTAGATCAGAGAGAGCACACGAACGCGCAGCGCCGGGCACAGCGAGGGGACACGCTGCACACAAAGGCCACCTGGCAGATGGGAGAGGAAAATAAACAATTAACCAGGAGAGCAGCCACCCAACCCCAGGGCCGAGCCGGGGGGCGGCGGGTCAGGGACAGAGCAGAGACAGGGGGACGGAGAAAACGCCGGGGAAGGACAGGGCGAAGGCAGAGGCCCCCAGGATCGCCCCCTCCCCAGCCCAGCGTCCCCTCAGGGTCCGCACAGGGCCCGGCTCCGCCCGGTGCCCCCTCCTCGAGGCCCGCCCGCCCGCCCCTCAGGCCCCGGCCCCGCGCACTCGCCTCGTCCGCGCTCAGCTCCTCCATCGCCTTCCTCTTAATGGTGCCCGGAGGGAGGGCGCGATCCTCCGCCCCGCCGCGGGGCCGCTCCGAGCCCGCGCTCTCCTGCCGCCGCTGCCCCCCGGGCCGCCTCACAAGGGCATCTCCGGGGCGACCGCCGCCGGCCGAACCCACCACCGCCGCCGCCGCCCCCGGCCCCGCCGCCTGCCCGCTCGCCCGCGCCTCCGCTGCCGCCGCGGCCGAGGGGGAGCCGCCCCTCCGCGGTGCCCCTCACACGCCCCCTGAGGCCCCTCAGCCCCGGCCCCCGCCCGCCCGCGGCCGCTGCCCCGCGCAGGGATTATTCATCAAAACAACAGGGCGGCGGCGGCCATCTTGGGGGGCGGGATCACGTGACCCACTGCACAAAGGGGGCGGGGCCACGCCGGGGCCGCGCGCGCGCCGAGACGGCCAATGGCGGCGCGCCGAGGGGGCGGGGAGGGGCGGGGCCAGAGAGGCAGGGAGGGAGAGAGGGAGGGGCGGGGCCACGCGCCGCTCGGGAGGGGCGGGGCGTCCGTGAGGGGCGGGAGAACGGCAGGAGGAGCGAGGGGTCCGTGAGGGGTCTAAGCAAGGCGGGTGGGGGTCCGTGAGGGGTCCGGGGAAGGCGGGTTCAGGAATCCGTGAGGGTCTAAGGAAGGCGGGCTCGGGGTCCATGAAGGGTCTAAGGAAGGCGGGCTCGGGGATCCATGAAGAGTCTAAGCAAGGCGGGTTCGGAGTTCGTGTGGGGTTTAAGGAAGGCGGGCTCGGGGATCCATGAAGGGTCTAAGGAAGGCGGGCTCGGGGGTCCGTGAGGGCAGGGAAGAAGGGCAGGAAGGAGCAGCCCCCCGGGGCGTCGCCGCCTGCCCGGGGTCGGTTGCAGCCCCTCAGGGCCGCCGCGGTCCGAGCGGGGTGAAGCCGCTGAAGCCTTCCCCGCTCCGGTGGGTCCATACATGTTAATCCCTTCCCAGTGACGAGGGAGTGAGAATCCCCAGGAATTTTACCTATTTACTGCAGTCTGTGTAACACATCGACGGAAAACCGAGGCACTGAGACCCTGTTGAGCACTGGGCCCTCAGCCTTTCCTAGATGAAGTTTGAACCTGAAGCATTTTTTTTCTTTGTTGCCAACTTTTCTGCACCTGGTTTTTTCATTATACCACAAAATGGTATCTTTGTGAAAGATATTCATCTTTTCCCTCGAGGAAACCAGTCAGATTAGCTGTGAGTGCATTGGAGGGTCACCGCCCCCAGCTTGGCTTGTTTGATCAGTTATAAACAGGTAAAAGGGAACAGGATTTTTAAAAGCTGTGATTTGGAAGGGGATAAACAAATTGAGAGCTGCATCAGCAGGTTTTTAGCCCAGGATGAGCAGGCACTAATAACAAGACCTGAACAGGGCAGCGGGGTTGAGTCAGCGAGGGAAGGAATCCCATAAAAGCTGGACAACAGGATGTTCTAAGATGGAACTAAACTGGTCTGTATGAGCAATTAGGACATAGTTTCATACACACTGCAAATAATCACATAGCAATAAAATTGATCCGAGCTTTGAAATGGGGATATGAGGCAGGTAGGATACTTGGTCTTGTGTTTTTATGCACATTTTTAATGTATTGATCTAAATTTTTTTTGAACAAAATCTTTTCAATGACTTAACCGAGGTGCTCAGAAAGGAAAAAAAGAATTTTATAAATAATTGGATCATAAGATATATTGTTGGTCTTTTCATAGGACATATGTATATTGTTACCTTTGAATTTTAGATTACACTTCATTTTGTGTTTACCTTCTTGGGATTTTCTTTTTTTTAAGAAAATTGAAGTGGTCTGAAACACCTTTGAATAAAACCCTTCAAGTGCTTCTCTGTGGAGCTCTGCTCTTGTCCTTCAGTTCTTTAATTCAAGTTCATATCTTTTTGGCAAAGGCTATATTAATGCCTTTATTTCCCCCCACTTGCAGAACACGCGACTACTCCCTTCCTTTTTTTTCACCACGGATTTCAAGGTGTTTAATTTGTGTTTTATGAAAGCATGTGAGTTGGTTTGCATGGAGATGAAATCAGAATAAGCAGTCTTGTCACTGTAGTAGCTTCTCTCAGCCCTAAGATCTCTAGAGCATCCTCAAGCAAGTTCTGCCTGGCATTACCTGCTTCCAGACCAGCAATTTGAAGCAGGAAGGCAGCAATAAAAATAACATCACTCTGCTGATAAAAACTCTTCTATTTTTATCAGGAAGGGCTTCCTAACAGCAGCCTCCTTAAGGAGTTATTACACTTCCAGTCATGCAGGTTTCTAAGGCTGCCTTTTTCTGATTTCTACTTGGAGCCTCTCTCTGTACCAACAGAGTTAAGGTCATCGTTGCCTTTCTGCATTGCTTTTACTGGAAGGCACAGCTTGAAAGCTGTGGGGTTTGAGAAGATCTGCACAGTTTAACACTTAAAACGTTTACGAGTTCGATGTAGGTACAGCACGTTGCAGAAGCGCCATCCAGTGGAGCAGAAAACTCCCTGTGGCTGCTGCTGTATTTCACTGAGGGATGTGAGCAGGGCTGCTGCCTGGGTTTGTTATTTCTATTCCAATAACGCTGTGACAGCAAGTTCGTTTTCAAACAAATGAAAAGCTACTCAGTTCCAGAAGGAAGACGCTGTCAGGATCCATAGAATAAACACCAGGCGTTTTACTGCTGCTCCCCACATTTCCTTAACTGTGTAAAGACCATTAGTTCTTTTCTTCTTATTTTGGAAACCAGCTTATATTTACACAGGCCTTTAGTAATTATGGGGAGGTCAATCTAACTAAAACCTTTATAGGCTTCAACAGATTTTGTTTGACTTTGGTGGTGGCTTTAAACCTTCTGAACTGATAGGAAGTATCAGGAAGGTGGTACTACTCATGTTTCAAAATGTCAAGGACTATTTTTTCATGTAAAGTAATTAAGTTGCTAAGCTAAAGCTAGGAGTTAAAACTCTTTTTCCACTCCTGATACACTGTTAGTGTTACCAACAATGCACCAACTCATTTCACTTGTACCTGCCAAGTTGAACTCACCACTTCCCCGTGTTCATACAAGGCAGAATAAAACCTGCTGCCCCATGACCTTCTGTAACATTGCATAAAGAAAAATATTTCACCTAATTGAACAGCTGGATGCAAAATAATCTGAACTAAAGGAGCATCGTTTTCACTCTGTTTATGTGCTTATGGAGTTCACTTATTTTGCAGAGTGGAGTCTCCCTGGATTACTCACGTTCTGGGATTTGCCCCCAGGCTGGTTTCCTCTGGCAAACTCAATTATTGAGGAGGAGGAAGCAGCTGTGGCACAGTGTGGGACCTCACACTACTCATGCAAGATACAGGCAAGTGAGTTAACTACTACTCTGCATCTTAAAGAGAAACATCTTGAACAATAAATCCGTATTCTTTGTTGTTTGCTTCATTGTTTATCTTCCCTCCCATCATTCCCCCTGTTTTGTTTGATGTTGACATGCCCCTTTAGAATTGGGATTCTTTAGAATCCTTGTTTTAATGCAGACTCTTAGTCAACCAGACACCCAGGCCATACCACTTGGTTTGAGTTGGACTTTTTCCTACAGAAACACATTCAAAAGTAAGGTACTTGAGGTGAGTTTGGTTTGGGGTATTTATTAGCAAAAATCAGATTTTTGACACTGGCAACAGCACACTTATTTCCTGAGCCAGAAACATCAGACCATTCAGGTTAACAGGCACAAGGGATCTGCTCTTGTCTGTAGGGCCATCCCTGGACATGAAGTGTGGTCTCCTGGGTAGAGCTGTCTCTGCAGGGAGGAGCCAGGACAACACCCAGATTCAAGCTCTCTTGAAGACCTGTCTGCACACTTGGTTCTCACAACGAAGCTCCTACCAAAAAAAAACAAACCAAAAGCAAAGAAACAAGAGTATAGATGTGTATAGTAATCAAAGGAGCTGCTTCCAAAAATGAACATGAATTCTTTGACCCCACTCTGGCCACATATAATAACTTATGCTTGACATTACAGTGAAGTTGTTTCAAAGCAGAATGTGCTTGCCACGTATCATCCATTACAAATACTACAGAGCTAGAAGACTTGTGCACACTGACCACATTATAGACCTTATTTTGGTCATGTAGAGACAGAATTAGTAGGAATTTGAAGTCAATACCAGGTGAAGGTCATCTCCTTCAAGCCAGTGAGTCCAGCCCCTGTTCTTCTTCTCACCAGTCTGGACACAGACAAGTTTGTCATTTTCCCAGGTAACCAGGCTCTGTGGAACAGGAAACAAAGAAGTGTTTCTGCAAAATACTCATAGACAGTGTCTATTTTCCCACATAAAAGAGGACCTAAATACTACTCCTGAGTGAAAGTGAAACTCCTTGTCTGTAACTCAGGCTCCTACCTCTGTGTTGCATTACAAAGATTATTCTTTAAACAATTTTAGCTCAAGTATCTGGATTGATCATGGCATCTTAATTTTGTAACAGCCTCTTGATTTTATATATGCATTCTTACCTTGCATTTTCTGTTATCCAAGCCTTTATTATCCTCTTCAAACTCTTGTCCCACTTTGAACTCCAGCAAATAATCTCTGAATGTGCTGGTGGTGTGGATATGGAACGAATCACCATCTTGTTTGATCACCTTCTGAGGCTTCAGCACTTTGGCTATTTTGCGGGTTGCAAAGTCAATACCTTGGACAGGAGGCAAAAAGGTCAGAGTCATATTTATTACCAGCCATTTGGACAGCCAGCACTTAACCTGATTTACTACTAGAAGCATCTCTTAGGTAGTCTTGTTGCTTGGTCAGAACCTTTTTTTCTGTTCAAAGCTGCACATTACACAGATTTAGACATCCTCTTGTACATTTTACTCTTTGGAAACCAGTTTACTTGTTGCCCAATTCCTACACAAGATTTATAGGACTTTGGGTCAAAATACTCCTTTTAGGAGTTGGTTTGCCACACACAAACACCTCAAGCTTGGTCTCAGACTTACCCCTTGTTTAGTTAGAGGGAATAGTTAGTGCCTATTCTCATCCTTTGTCGAAGGAAAGGAAATGTAAGAGTTAACAAGAACTATCTGCACCCTCTACCTTAAATAGGACTAAAGGAAGGGCAGTCCCAAAATTAACTCCTCAGGCTTGTTTTCAGGACATACCACTTGTTATTAGCACTTTTTAAGTACAAATATAAACCATCACACTTGTCAAAAGATTTCCTGGTTGTCTGTAATGACCAGTCAGTGACAAAATCCTGATGTTCCTGGTAACACTGAGCTCCAGGCAGTGCCTCCAGAGTCTTTTCCATTTCTCCAGTGAACGTTTCCTTAGAGGAACAGGCAGGCAGCTGAAGCACATCACATCCCAATAGCATGCTCAGAGTTAGGGTTTCTGGCAAGGGGATGGGTAAAATGGGGGCTGTGCATTAATTTAGTTGGTTGCTTTTGCCACCTAGATTAAAAGTATCATTTTATAGGAACACTAGAAGTTTCTCACTTCATGCAGGCTGGGGTTGTGATCCTGCCAGGGTGTGTTCAGCGACCATGTGCTGGACCATATGGGCCAGGAGTCAGCCTGTGCCACTCTGAGCATTCCAGATGTGCCAGGATCTGAACCATATGGGCCAGGAGTCAGCCTGTGCCACTCTGGGCATTCCAGATGTGCCAGGATCTGAACCATATGGCCCAGGAGTCAGCCTGTGCCACTCTGGGCATTCCAGATGTGCCAGGATCTGAACCATATGGGCCAGGAGTCAGCCTGTGCTGCTCTGGGCATTCCAGATGTGCCAGGATCCGAACCATATGGGCCAGGAGTCAGCCTGTGCCACTCTGGGCATTCCAGATGTGCCAGGATCTGGCAGGTGTGTTTTCACATGTTACCAGTTCATTTCAGCACAGAGGGATTTTGATTCAGCACTCACAACAGCCATTCCCATTAACCCTTAACAAGAATGTGTTATAAAAGCTATAAACATATAAACTACTTACAGATCTGTTCTTTAGAGGTGGATATAAATGAAGGGAAGGGCTGGGCTTGGCATAACCACATCCTTATCCATAACCCTCTAGTTCTTCAGCTGGTCAGGTATTAACCTCCCCCCTCTACTTGCCCTGGCAGACAAGTGTCCCATTCTAGCTCTGCAATACTGAGTTCAGCCTTGTTTTGCTCAGCATGCTGGAAACCAAGCAGGACTGATTTAAGGCAGGTTGTAAATCATCAACAGGATCTTCCCCTCTACTTTTAAGTAAGTTCCCCCGATCACATGCTGAAAACTAATTGCATTTTCTCACAATATTGGTAGTTATATTTAGTTTCAAAAAGCCCTTTACTTAGCTGGACAATGTTTATCATCAAGGAACAGACAGAATCTCTCTCTGATTTGAAGACATTAACACATTTAGAGTATAGTATTTAGCATCCTAACTGAGGAATAATTACTCATGATGGGAGCACACTTCCTCTTTTTTTTTCCTTTCTGCTTGATAACACAGCAGGATTAGTAACAGAGAAGGGTCCTTTCACTCTGTTACAGATACCAACCAGACAATTTAAGTAGATTCCCTGGTATAGATACAGCCAGAAAATAGATTTCTTTCTAGTTGTGTGACCCATAACCACCAAGGGACAGTGCTGGTCACCAGTTCCCACAGGTCACAGAGGTAGGGAGGGGTGGGAGAGGCAGGAGAGGAGAGGGCAGCACACCAGGTTCCTGCTGTCACAGTCTGTAAAGAGCTTTGTACAAGAGAGCTAATGAAGTCCTGAGAACTTTCTTAGCTCCCCTTTAAAGCACTGTTAATCTCTCTATACACCAGGCTTAGAAAGTCCCCAAAGCTGCAATGACAGGCTCCAGTAATGGTCTGTTTATCAATAAACAAAGATCCTTCCACTGTTTTTCAGAGAAAAGAAAAAAGTTTAAGCAATGTCTATGTTTTAGAAGAACTTAGACTCTTAGAATTCAGAAGGACTCTTACTGGGGGAAGGGAGGAAGGACAGAATCAGGTATTTTCACCTACCTAAGGCCACCATATAACCTTCAAAGTTGTCATTGCTGACAAGGTTCCAGGTTCCACTGAAATCCACAGGCATTGCCAGACAGCAGAAGGAAGATCCAGTCAAAAAAGCAAAAATGAAGAAGTAATTTTCTAACCAGGCCTTATATAAAGCAGATTGTGGGTGGGATTATATGCCAGGGCCTTTCCTATGGAGGGGAAGGGTGCTACTGCTGGGCCAATGGGTGAGAGGGTGTTTGTGGAATGGCTTCAGCTGTGCTGGAGGGAAAAGTTCACCGTGTCCGAAATCTTTGTGTGGAGCAAATGTTAATAGCCCAAGAGCCACAATGCAAGCCAAAAACTGGCTTGTGTCCATCTTGTACACTTTAAAGGGACTGATTTTATCATTACTAAAATTTCCTGCATGTTTATTAGATCTGTGGCCTTATGACCTGAAATCTATGTCTTTGTTGAGAAGCTGAGCAGTGACTCACGACTGAAAAGGTGACCTACCCCCTGTGAAGACGTGCTGGATGTGAACAGGCAGGGATTGACTGCTAAACTGGAGAGAGTATTATACCAATCCATTTTAAAGCAGTGCCTATGACAGTAAGAGAGATAAGAATTCCATCCTGTTGCCTTATATCTGGAGTGAACAGGAGGCACATTCAAACAGTACTTTCATGTACATAAATGTAGCTCCCCCCTTTGCTTTCTACTCTTCCCACAGACAGGAGAGCTGATACAGGAGTTGTTCCACTGATAGTTTATGAGATGCTTTGCTTTGTGGCAGAGCACACAGGCAGTGGAGCACAGGATGCAGCTTCAGTGCTGGACTTCACCTTCAGCAAAGAAGTGATAGATGCCTCAGAAGTGATGACCCAGCAATGGGTTTTGAAAAGAGAATAAAAAATGCTTGACTTTTGAAGAGAAATGATACAGGGAATTTGGAAGTGAGGAAATAAGGGATTTGGAGGTGAAGAAACTCACCTACACTTACTGTATTTATCTATTTGCTGACTTGTGTTAGGCTGAATAAAAAGGATAACGTTTTGCAGAGAAGTTTCCCTGAACTTTAGCTCCTTTTCTGGAGCTGGCAGTGTGACCAACGTGACTCACAGATGATGTGAGGAGGAAATCAGGACGTCAAAGCTTGTTTCCTGTTTGCAGCTGGATGTTCTCTAACCTACACTAAACCAGGAATGGCACAGAGAAATGAAAATGAATGTGTTCCTGGACTCAAATAGTAACATTTCACCCACAACTTGGTGTTATGAGGTTGTGGTAGTAAAGCACTGTTGCAATACGACTGACTCTTGCAAGCAAAGAGAAGTGAGTACTTGGGTAAATCCTGTGTCAAAGCCTGGATATAACATTTTAATTGAAAATTAAATTATGCAGATAGTCAAGGGTGTGGAGAGTCTACTCCTGAAAGTTATACCTGTCTGACATCTTTGAACAGCCACATCACTGCTTGTGGTGCAATATTCTGGTTTGTATAGACCAAATTGTACTAACATTGTTCTACCTCTTAAAAATCATGCAGTCATCAGACATCAGATATAGTGAACAGGATGACTAAAATTAGCATATTACATGCAATTTATTTTATTGAAGGACTCACCACACATTAAACTCCAGCGAAATAAAACTGAAGACCAAAGCTTTATAAAAAAATCCTCCTGAATTTGCAGTTTCTCTACAATTACACAAAGAGCACCAACACACACCAGCATCATTATTAAGAAGAATAAACCTAGACTTAAAGTGCAGTTTTACTCTGAAAAATGACCACCTCAACAGGGTGCTGTCCCATTAGAAGGATCTGCTCTGTTTATTCAGCAGCACACTGCTTGACTTGAGGGCTCAAAGTAACTCCTTCCTGCCCCCTGTTCTCATCAGTCCTAAAGACAGACAGTGAGCAAGAGAGGAAAGGAGATGGGCCCTTTCCCAGGCCCCATCACTAGTACAGTTGTCTGCAGTCAGCTCAGGCAGTTGGATTGCTGAGGTATCACAGGGGCATCGTTTATCCTTCCTTTATTAGTACTGAGGTTAAAAGAACCTCATCACCAAAGGACAGTGAAAACTTGCCTGGGCTCCGGGGGAAGAAATGGCAGCCAGCACATTTAAGGAGGAATCACCAAAAATACAACCCTAAGAATCCTTGGTGCTACTTTCTGTCACAGATGCACTTCTAGGGTGTGACTTGATTTTATTACACCAATCTCTTTGTGGATTCTTCCATCTTTGCAGGCTGGAACCAGCAGAACACAGAATTTCATGTGGGGCTCCCAGTTTGCATGTTTAGTGCCAGCTCCACTGCAGGATACAGGTTTTCCCAGCAGTGTCCCAGCTCCCCTGCTGGGTTTTAGACAAGCCTCACAGGGCCTAGGGCCACCCACAATGTGGCTTCTGTCTCCCAGACTCCCCCTGAGCTCTGAGGGAAGCCCAGACCTCTGCCTCAGCTCCCTGGGGATGTCCTGCCCAGGGGGGAGGGTGATGGGTTGTCACAGTTATGACCCTGGAACGTGTCCCTGGTTCTAGACTTGCCCAAGAGCATCTTGGCCTCCTGCCCTGAGAGGCTCACACTGGGCTGGATTTGTTCATCTGGAAAAGGTGACCAGAGTCATCTTGTGGAGAGCTATGAAAGAGCTGCTGACCCATTAGAGAGTGGCTTGGAAGCCTTGACATTTGTAATAAGGCACATAATCCAAACAAAAATGGGATGGCAGCAAATAAAGGGAGGTAGAATTCTACAACCACATCATTCACAGTGCCTCTCCAGCTTATAGTCACATAATACAGGCAATACACTGTTAGATTCAAACCCAGATTTCTAGCAAAGAAGAACATTTCACTTATGTACAGTACTAATTTCCTACCATTTCCTCTCAACTGCAGTAACAGAAAACAATTCTGGCTATATACCATATATTGTCCTCATGGCTCAAACCTAAAAGATATTTTATTATTTGAAAGAAATTTATTATTTGTAATAAAGGGACAACCCTCTGAGAATCAGTGCAATGGCACTATTATTAATTTCTATCTATCAAATCAGTGGCTATAAATCAGTTTCTGAGGTCGGTTTGTCCTTCCATCAGAAACAATACTGAGCTTCACTACAGCCCTGGAAACATGAATAGAAGAGTGAAGCACAAGACATTTCTGGGAGCAAATTGCATGATGGCAAACAAGCAGCTGCATATTTGAAAATCAGGCAGCTCCAAGCAGGCTGTACCCAGCACCACTTCAGCCAGGAGGAAATTTGTCCCTGCCAGAACAGAGCTAAATAATTTCTTTAAGATGAAGCACATGTTGGCAATTACAGCTCCACAGATTTACTAACAGTAAATGGTACCCTTAGAAATTAAATAGCTTTGTTAAGACGCTGTAAGTTATCAAAAATATTTGTGTTAGTATTTTATAAATAGCAGTCGGAGCAGTTCGAATTAAAACCAATCAGAACATTTTCATTTGTTTTGCTTATTAATTTGCAATTCTCATATGCCGGTGTGGATTCTTCTACTCACTTCAGTGCACTGTGACTAAATGTTTAAATGTTTAAATCTTACTATGGGACTTGAAAAAGATTGTGGAGGTCCAATCATTGAGTGCACCAAACCTCAACAGCAACTACAGATGAACTAAAGCCATGGAATTAGCCCACTGTGTACCAAAAAAATTGAACCAACCCCTAGAAAACACTCTCCTGCACCGAACTGTAGCTTTTTTCCCAGCAGACAGTGAGTTAGTTGTTCAGTGCCTGTTAGTTCTTGGAGTCACTTGCATTTTTCTGTAAGGGAGCCAAGACCACCCCAGCGTTCCTGTCCTCACTCTCGGGGCTGTACAGGTTGTTCCTCTCAATGTAAGCTCGAACCACATCAGGCACCAGGTAGCGGATGCTCTGCCCCCTCCGCAGGGCCCTCCGGATCTTGGTGGAGGAGATGTCGTTTGTGATCCACTCCTCCACCAGGTGGATGTTGTTCTTGTGTCTCCACAAAATATCAGATTCGTAGATGAACTTCTGAGCGTTGTTCCCAGCCCTGCTGATGCACACCAGGCCGTGCTTTTCCACAATTTCAGCGATGTCCTCCAACTTCCACAGATTGGGGATCCCAAAAGATTCCAGCATGTCGCTTCCACAGAGCAGTTTAACCTGGGGGACACCTTAAAAAGGAAAAAAAAGTGAGAAACAGGGCTTGGTCACCAGATTTTAGCTAACTTGACAGGGACATTTGATTTCTAGGCTCTCTCTCTGTATCTTTGGTTAAGATGAGACAATGGAACAAAATAAAAAAGAGATTCAGAGTATCTAATTTATAATTAATAGCCTCAATACAGGATTTTTCCGAATAAAGGTTATGGAAGTCCCTTCACTAAAAGGATCTACTGCCTTATGCTGTGAGATCTAAGGGAATAAACGTACTCAGTGGTATCAGAACCAAGAGCTACCACAAAAAAGTGCAATTCTCTTGCAGTAACAAGTATCATTAACCATTTAATTTGCAAACAGACTTAACTTTTTATATCTGGACTCCGATTTTTCTTTTTAACGGGTTCGTGCCTATTTGGTTCCTGTTTCCTCTTTCGTCCCAGCTTTGTTAAGGGCACAGCATCCTCCAGACTGTTAGTGGCATCAGGAGGTAAAAGCTTTTGATGATGGTACCTGCAAAACACAGATGTATTTTAGGTATTTTAAAGATGTAGGAGAAAATAGGGATATTGTGGTCTAAAATCATCTCTCACACTTCCTCCTGCAGCACTTTCACAGACAGTCCACCCAGGAGCTGATCTGCTGAAACAGGGACTTGAGAGCTCGGTCAGATGGTGCTCAAAGGGCAAAGATTTCAAAGCAACAATCAGGTTGGTTTGTTTCTTTTTTTAATAAAAATTCGTTTCAATAATAAGAATCTCAGTGAAGTAGCAATGACTGAAAGAGTAAAACCATAAAACTCAGAAAATTCTCCTTCAGACAATTCTCATGCCAGTCTTTAAATACACAAATGTGCAGCACAGCTTGTGTCTGCCCTGTTCCAGACTCTGTCCCTCCCCAGGGACACCTTTTCAGCACAAAAACTGAATAAGGCCTAAGGAATTACATATCTTCAAAATTGGTCCCAGGCTCATTTTTGGCATGTTTAGGACTAATGGTGCAATCTTTCATTTTCAGTGCTCGTATCAACAGTCCCTCTGAATTCACTGACTCTGTTTATATGATTTGGGACTAGCCTGCCATTATCTAACTCGTTAGGCCAACACCACTGCTTATCCTTCTATAGGTTTGTCAGACTTTTTAGAGCTTGGCTGAAGAATACCTTAAAACTTTTAGTGTTTCCAACCACTCACTCTGGCTGCTTTCCCAATCATCAACTTCCACCCAATCCGAGTTTTTTGTAGCCAGTTTTGCCATTGTCACTCGGTGATTTGCACTGATCAGACCTTTCTTCTTATATGCATCACCCACTGGTGAAATGATGCCCTTGATTACTTTGTATTTTCCTGTGGAAAGAAAACACACCACACAAGAACAGGAGAAGTGGTTGAGCAGATGTTACTTCCCCTGCATTGTATTTAAACTATGACATAAACATTACTCAGGGCAATGGCAGCTCTGACAGCCAGCCCAGTGGAAAAGTACAATTCTCTTCTTCATTGTCAGGGCAGCACAATGAAAGAGTTGGGAAGATAGAATAGAAAGACAGATTTCTATAAACTAACTGTAAAACTGTGCTTTAGCTCATTAAAATCAGTAATAAGCAACATTTCTATAAGACAGTTGCCTCATGTTGGCCTACATGATTTTGTATGATACATCCACACATAGCAGGCTCAACATCTAATCAGGATTTCCAGAAATATCTGTCCCTGTCGAACAGGCACTCACAAACACAAAATATTCACTTTACCACTTAAGTGTCTAGTTATCAAAGCTATTCTGAATGACACAAATGACCATCCTACCTGTTTCATGGAAATAGTCTTTAGCCAGCTCAAACAGCCTCAGGTGCATGTTGGTGATGGGGTTGAAGGACCCACAGGCCAGCAGCACCACTTCAGTCTTCCTCTCAGGATCTTCCATAGCCATTCCTCACAGCCAGAGCCAAGGGGAGAATGCTGGTGCCAGGTACCAACTACAGCAAGAAATGGGATTAAAAAAGAGTTTGTTACTTATTTGTGCTGCCAATAAGCAGAAAATAAAATGGCACGATCAAATGGAACACTTCCACCAACACTGAGCCCGTGATTGTTCATGTGACACTGCATTTTTAAGAGATTAAAATATGAAAT